ATGTTCTCAACTCTACTTAACTCTACTCAGCTCTAATCTATCCTACTAGACTCTACCAAACTCTATTCACTCTATTCAACTCAACTCAACTCTACTCATGTTTACTCTACTCTAGTCTACTCAGCTCTAATCACCTTTGTTTAACTCTACTCAATTGTCCTTAACTCTTCTCAACTCTACTCAACTATTCTCAACTCTACTTAAATCTACTTAACTCTCCTTAACACTACTCAACTCTACTCAACTGTACTCAACTCTATTCAACTCAACTAAAATATAGTTAACTCTTCTCAACTTTATGCAACTCTACTCAACTCTCACCAACTCTACTCAACTCTTCTTAACTAAACTCAATTCTACTTAACTTTACTCAACTCTAGACAACTCTACTTAACTCTTCTCAACTCTTTTCAAGTTTACTTAACTTTACTCATCTCTATCAACTCTACTCAACTCTGCTTAACTTTACTCAAATCACCTCTACTCTACTTAACTCTAATCAACTCTACTCAACTCTACACAACTCTACTCAACTTTACTCAATTTTACTCAACTGTAATCAAGTCTACTTAACTCTACTTAGCTCTAATCTATCCTACTAGACTCTAGTATACTCTACTTACTCTATTCAACTCTTTTCAAGTTTACTTAACTTTACTCATCTCTATCAACTCTACTCAACTCTGCTTAACTTTACTCAAATCACCTCTACTCTACTAAACTCTACTCAACTATAATCAACTCTACTTAACTCTATACAACTCTACTCAACTCTACTCAACTCTACTCAACTCTACTCAACTCTACTCAACTCCCCTAAACTCTACTTAACTTAACTCAACTCTTTTCGAATCTACTCAACTATACTCAACTATACTCAATTCTACTAAACTCGACTCTACTATACTCAACCTCTTCGAATCTACTCAACTATGCTCAACTATACTCAACTTTGCTTAACTCTACTTAACCCTACTCTATTCTACTCAACTCTACTTAACTATACTCAACTCTTCTTAACTCTACTCAACTCTACTCAACTCAATTAAACTCTACTCAACACTACTAACTGTACTTAACTCTATTCAGCACTACACAACTGTACTCCACTCTATTCGACTCGACTCAACTCTACTCAACTCTCCTCAACTCTACTTAACTCTACTCAACTATACTCAACTATACTTAACTCTACTCAACTGTGCTGAACTCTACTTAACTTTACTCAACTCTTCTTAACTCTAATCACCTCTTCTCAACTCTTCTCAACTCTATTCAAATCTACTCAACTCTACTGAACTCTCATCAACTCTACTTAACTCTACTTAACTAAATTCAATTCTACTCATATCTACTTAACTCTACTCAACTCGACTCTACTCTATTCAAATCTTTTCTAATCTACTCAACTATATTTAAATATAATCAACTCTTCTCAACTCTACTCAACTCCAATCACATCTTCTCAACTCTACTCAACTCTACTCAAATCTACGCATCTCTATTCAACTCTACTCAACTTTACATAACTCTACTCAACTCTACTCAATTCTACTCATTTTTACTCAACTCTACTCAACTCTCCTCAACTCTACTTATCTCTCCACAAATCTACTCAACTATACTCAACTCTACTCAACTCTACTCAAATCTCCTCAGCTCTACTTAATTCTACTCTACTCTATTCAACTTTACTCAACTCTACTCAACTCTACTCAACTCTACTGTACTGTACTCAACTCTACTTAAATCTAATCTCATCAACTTAACTCTACCTAACTCTACTCAACTCTCCTCAACTCTACTCAATTCTACTCAACTTTTCTTAAACCAATCCTATAAGGCTACGCGAGGCTGAGACTAAACAGAAGACCACACCATTTTGTCTTCATATTTACGATATAACATTTAGTTATTTGAACTTGCTTTCGCAACTTGTTTATATTAGCTAGTAGACCAACAGGAACAAATCTTGTCTAGGAGTCCATAGTATGCATAATAATTTCTAGAGTTAAACCGTGAACTGGGTGTATCCCCAGACGTTTCGTCAGCATCGTCGGTGAACTTTGCCATTCTCAGCACCACACTAAATCTCGTTAAAGAGATAAGTGATGTCGACATTTTGACCAAAAATCTGCTAAACATTTTTGGCTTTTACCCTTCTGTACTATCTAATATCTTCGTATCACACCTTCACTATCACAATTTATTACTTATTTAATGTGGTATGGTATGTGGGCGGACTTCACGACACCTTACACCACACTACCCCATGCTTTTGCTGGGAATGTTGATCTGAGCCTGTCATTTTGGTCCACAATCCTCCTACCATAGGTTTTATCAGTCTCCCTCTTGCCTCGTAGGCTGACGTTTCCATTAAATTTCACGCATTTTTTCTTTCCAAAAAGGTGTTCCTATTCAAAATGGATTGCAGTTTCGACCTCGCCTAAGGCCTATCAACAACCACAGCGGTAGTCAAACCATGACAATGCAGCGCGTAATCTCGACACGATAAAAACTATGCCACATTACCACGACTGACCTAGGGTCAGAGGACAGATGTAAATTTCAAGGAAGGCCAGGCATTTTCCTATATCGCATTCTTTGGTGGCATTGTCAATGAAGAAAAGTTATATTTAATCGAAGGTATAAAGACCAAGATGGTGTAGCCTTTTGTGTGGTCGCAGTCTTCTTTCGTTGAATAGAAGTTGT